AACAACTCAATGGTCAATTACTGATCAGTGAAAAAGCACAGCCTCCAGATCAGGGAAGACTACTGCTTTTGCTCTAAGCAGCAGCCACTACAGAAGGGGGGTTGAGCAACAAATAAAAAGAAAAACACCCAACCTAAGCACACCCACCCCATCCCCCAAAAACACCCAAAACAAACAAAAAAACAAAACCCACACACAACAACAAAGGAAAACAGAACAAGAAAACAAAACCCAAAATAGCTGAGCAATTGTTTAATACACTCTAACAGCCTAGGAAAGTAGCAACACCACTAAGGAACATCACACACCATCCAGACCAGGAGTAGCAGCTAAAGATTAAAAAGCACCTAGAAACTCAAACATTTTATAAAATATGTTTGTAAACAAAAAACCTAAATTGGGGTAGGAATGGCAGAGGATTCCATGCTGGTATCAACCTGAATAAAGTTGATTTCCTTCCTAGTAGCTGGTGCAATGCTGTGTTTTAGCTGTAACCAAGAAAAATGCTGATAATACGCCGATGTATTCGTTGATGCTCAGCAGCACTTACCCCGAACCAAGGACTTTTCAGTCTCAAGCTCTGCCAGTAAGAAGGGGCACAGGAAGCCGGGAAGAAGCAGACAGGACATCATATTTGGAAAATCATGGCAATCAGGTGAAGTTCCAGAAGACTGAAAAAAGGGAAAATGTAACCCCCATTTTCAAGAAGGGGAAAATGGAAGACCCAGGGAACTACAGACCAGTCATTCACACCTGTGTGCCTGGAAAAAGCTTGGAGCAGATTCTCCTGGAAGGCATGCTAAGGCACATGAAAAACAACAAGGTGCTTGGTGACAGCCAGCATGGCTTCACTAAGGGGAAATCCTGCCTGACCAATTTGGTGGCCTAGGATAGGGCTACAAAACTGACGGACAGGGGTAGAGCAGTTGATGTCATCTACCTGGACTTGTGTAAAGCGTTTGACACTGTCCCACACGACATCCTTGTCTCTAAATTGGAGACACATCAATTTGATAGATGGACCACTCTGTGGACAAAGAATTGGCTGGATGGCTGCATGCAAAGAGTCATGGTCAGCAGCTCAATGGCAGCTGGAGACCAGTAAAGAGTGTTGTCACTCAGGGATCAGTATTGGGACCGGTCTTGTTCAACATCTTCGTGGGTGACATGGGCAGTGGGATTGAGTGCGCTCTCAGCAAGTCTGCTGATGACACCAAGCTGTGTGGTTCAGTTGATACGTTGGAGGGAAGGAATGCCATCCAGAGGGACCTTGACATGCTTGTGAGGTGAGCAGATGCGCACCTTATGAAGTTTAATCGTGCCAGGAACAACATCCTACACCAGGGTCAGGGCAATCCCAGGCACAGCTACAGGTTGGGAGGAGGACTTGGGGGTGTGGGTCAATGAGAAACTTAACATGAGCTGGCAGCGTGTGATTGCAGCCTAGAAAGCTATCCATATCATCTGCTGCATCAAAAGCAGCATGACCAGCACGTCCAAGGATGTGATCCTGCCCCTCTACTCTGCTCTCGTGAGACCTCAGTTGGAGTACTGTGTACAGTTCTGGTGTCCTCAACACAAAAAGGATATGGAGGTGTTCCAGTATCTGAAATGGGCCGATAAGGATGCTGGGGGGTGACTCATTAGGGACTGTACTGATAGGACAAGGGATAACAGGTTAAAACTTAAACAGAGGAAGTTCTTTACTGTGAGGGTGCTGAGGCACTGGAATGGGTTGCCCAAGAAAGTTATGAATGCTCCATCCCTGGCAGTATTCAAGGTCAGGTTGGACAGAGGCTTGTGTGACATGGTTTAGTGTGAGGTGTCCCTGCCTACAGCAGGGCGGTTTGGAACTTCATAATCTTAAGGTCCTTTCCAACCTTAACTATTCTATGATACCTGACCCAAAGTAGCCAAAGGGGTATTCCATACCACTACACATCATGCTTGGCATAGAAACTGGGGGAGGTTACCCAGAAGCAGGATCACTGCTTATGTCAGGCTGTGTATCAGTCAGCAGGTGGTGAGCAATTGTATTGTGCGTCACTTGTGTTTCGAGTTTTCATGTCTTGTTTTGTTGCTCCCTGTTATCGTCATCATCAGTATTGTTATTGTTGGTATTATCACTATATTTTACTTTATTTCAATTATTAAACTGTTCTTATCTCAACCCACACCTTTCTGCACTCTGTAGCACTCTCATAAATACAGGATAACTTTCTTACATATTCACTTTGAATATCAACCTATCCACTGCTGGTTAAGATAATGCAAGGACTATGAATCTTATTCATATATAAATTTGTACAGAGGATACAAATGTAACTTCTAACTGCTTCACCAACAGCAGCCCCATCTCATCTCCTAGATATCAACTCTTTCTCTCTTCTGTTGCTCTTTGGCATTTTCCTCTCCAGGATACAATCACCTCATGCCTTTCACATATGAGTAAGCATTGCTGACCACACTTACCTCTCTAGGGTTTTTTTTTAGATGCACTGTCTAGACACTCCAATCAGATTTCTCTCCCATTTAGCCAAGATTTTTCCACCAATCTGGATGTAACAAGTTTGATTAAGGCACACACCAAAGCCTAAGTTACTAATTGCCTGTCCTAAATAAACCCCAGTCTACTTAAGGCTTGTAGTCTATTGTTCTGGGTTCAGCAACCACAATATCTATGTCTTAGTTTAGTCATCTTTTCAGAAGCAGTTAAGCCTAAGGAAGCACCTTATCAAGTTACAGAAAATTATTTAATTAAATGCTCATTACTTCATATAAAACCAGATTGTTTTCCAACCTTAGATGGTTGGAAACAATATTTCCCCATGCAATTAGCAATTTTTACAAATTTATTGCCATGGTATTTCTACCCAGGGCATGGATTTATAGCTTAGCTTTCAGCTGGTGAAAGCTTTTATTAATAAGCTATCAATTTCCATTCAATTTAACTAGCAGCTGACAAACATTAGTAGGTAAGTCACAACATCATTCTATTATCATAAGCAGGTCTGTTAGCAAGATCACAGTTCAGAGCAGTAGCTAGAAAAAGCTAATCCAAAGTTTACCCACATTAATCCTCTAAGTAGGTCCACTTCTAAATGCTACCACTCCAACTGGTTCTGAAATCGTATTAAATTGCATAAAACACGAAATGCAACATTAAGACACCAATGCACTATTCATGTCATGGTGACTTCTTGAAAATGTATTTTGTGAGATATAATTCTTCATGCTACAAGTGCTTTAAACAATATTGCTAAGAATATTTGTTTGAAGACAGGTTTAAAACAAACAAGCCAAAAAAAAAAAACACAACAACACTATTCAATTTGCTACTAAACAGCTATCAAGCCAGAAGCATTCATTCTAAAATTGTGGCCTAAAAGAATAACTTCTGAAAATTAAGGAATAAAAATCATATGGCAGCTTCAGAAGTAAATTTCTATATCCTAGAAACACATGAAATTACCCAATAGTATTTCTGAACCTCTAACACACAGCAATCGCTAACTGCAGCTAGAAATAACATGATTTCACCAGGTTTCAGAGATGCCACTTCAAACTACAATCAAACAGTCAAATCTCACAAGTCACAATTCTGAATGAAAACAGAACAACTAAAATACTGGGGAGGAGGCATGTATCTAGAAGTAGTTTCAGTGTTACACACTTCCTAGTCAAAAGATAAGCAGCTCATCGACTTCCATTTACAAAGGGCAATATACCAAAACAGTCCAAAAGCAACATCAGCATCATTAGAATCTCTTTGCCACAACAACTGGAATTCAAGCTGCCGAGATGTGCTCTACAGCAAACTTCCAGACATCCCTTGCCACCACCTTCCTGTCTCCACGTGGTTAAGCCTCTTACTAGTGAATTAGACATCTTTTTGGAAGTCCTGATCAGAGGCTGGTACCTCTACAAACAGAACACTTCTTAGATACTGCTGCTGTGCACCATATATTCCTGAACAAGTCAAATCTTGAACAAGTTTTAAACATTTAAGCAGTTTTAAAAAGAGCTTTAAAAGAAATTAGGTAATTGCTTTACTTTTTAGATGACTGCAATACCCATCAGACATCTAGATGTAGAAATTTGCCTTTTCTTCACAATCTTTTTTCCAAAATACACACAGTTGATGCAATCAATAGTCTTTTTTCCAAACTAAAGTGTGTTTTAAAAAACTTCTATTTATAAGCTGAATATTAGTAAGAAGATGAAGCTTCTTGTCATGCCCAATTCAGTTTTAAAGCAAAACATTTGGTGGAATAAGAGCATAAATAGTAAGATTTAATGCTACTACTCTAGGAAGTTATGTGCTGCACAAGTCCAGCTACCATCACCCCCTCCCCATCAAGTAATTCTACTATTTAACAGTAACACAGAAAAACAGCATCCTTTTTGGCAAGTATTATTAATAATACCATACCATAATTAAGTTACCAAAAGGGGTGGGTTTTTTCTTCTTCTAAGGTCAATTCATCTTCATGAGATCACACTTACATGCAGGCTCTTTATTCTTACTAGCATAACACTGGATCTTTTAGCATTAGGCAAAAACAGCACCACAGTTTACAGGAGGAAACACACAGTAGAACATTTGGAAATGTTGGACAGAGTCATGTTCAGAAAGTACAAAGAAATAACTACCCTCTTCCTAGCACGAAGTTTAAGGACTGTGATGAATGCTGTCTCCTTTAGGAGGTTGGTCTAGGGTCTTCAGCTAACCCCTGGGAAAATTCTGCCTCCTCCAAAAGCAAACTGTATCCCCACCCACAGAAACCTCTAAGATAACAGACATGAAAAGCTGCTTACTGCAGTCTCAAATGAGAACAGCTTTCCTTAACTTCTTGCCCTGCTCCACAGTGTTGCACATTAGCTTAATATTAAGCAACCTGACAGAATTTGCCATACCCATATTTGCTTTCACCAGACATTAGCTTACAAATATGTAACACTCTAAAACATGAAAAGATAACACTAAAATAGCTCTTTACCGTGATCATAGCCTTGCTCAGACAGACAGAGCCTCTGCAGCCATACTCTGTTTCATCTTCAGACTTGTAATAACTAAGTGTGTTGCTTTTCAGAACTACCCAACGATCCTGCCACCCATGAATGTAGTTGGTCCACTGTAAAAAAATAAATAAAAATAAAAAAATTCAAAGATCAGCTAACAGAAAAGAAACAATAAAAATAGTTTGGCCGATATTTCTCAGGCTTTAAGCACCAAAAAACCTCATACACAAACACCCACACTAACTCCTGTGAAATATTAACTCACTCCTCTGAACAAGATAAAGTTTTATTGAGGGACAAAGTCAATAAAGCAAAAGCAAAAGGGATGGGCACATGACCATAGCCAGAGGTGCAACTGATTAGTATTTGTTACAGGTTTATATACTTTCACTATTGCATTAGTCACATACATATTCATAATTCCCACATATAGGTGGGGAATATTATAACTAGCTCCAGGAACTTATTAGCATAAATCCCCTCCTCTTGGCTTCTGCCCACTGCTCTCCGGTGACTGTGGGCAGGGGTCTTGATGATGAAGTAAGCAGTCTTCCTCTTGTGAGTAGGGGTCTTCAAGATGAAGTAAGCAGTCTTCCTCACAGTGTACTTTTCACCTTTGGCACAGTTGGACGCCCCAGTAATCACACAACTAGCTGAAACCAGCCATATCTGTAATTCTTCTGATAACTAGCAAAGATTTAGAACAGTGCGACCTTCCTGCAAAACTCTGCAGGACGGGCAGACAAGGAGTATCCCAAGCTAGCAGATTTTTGGGAGGCTCTGTCTCTAAACTAACTGATAAGTAGAAGGATGGTCTGAAATAACTCAGGTTTAGTGGGGCCACTAAATCCTGTTATCTCACCACAGACAACACAAACATTGTGCTTTAAAGCTAAAGATACTTTAGAAGACTAGTGTGAAACAATTAACTCATGTTTAGTGGGGCCACTACATTCCACAGACTTACAACATGAACATTGATCTCTTTCTACAACCTAAGTTAAGCTAAAAAGTGCTTTAACTCTGTTATCCAGGCACTAGCTTTTCTTATATCAAGCCCCCCCCCCCCCTTTCTTTTAGCTTTACAAATTATTTTGCTATGTGACTCCGTTTTGCTCAAGAGTTCTAGCCCTTTTTAACTTGTTGTCTAATCTCGTGTCTTTAGCAAGCTTTTTTCTGTTATCGTAAACTCGTACAGTTATATCCACATAACCACACCTATGATTCAGGAAAGCCAATACATTTATGTGTTTATCACACTCCTATAAAAGTTCCTCCCAACCAAGAACTTTAATCCCTCTTCTGTCCAGAGCTCTCAAGTCAGTTTACAAACTCCTGGAGGTACTAAAAAAACAGTTCCTTCAAATGAACAATAAAATAACAGACACCTTAACTGCAACTGCATTGCTAAGACTACTTAAAATAAAGGTAATAAACATACTGATGACAAATGGGGGTAGGGGTGTGTGGTGTAAATAGGGAATTATTAGTCACTAAGGTTAGTTTATTCATTTGATTTAAAACCAAATTATTTGATACTTGCTAATCAGCAAGCATACAATCATCCTTTTGTTATTCAGATTTTTCTAGGCACTCCACATCCACACATGGAATGAAAGGGATATTCTAGGAACAAGCCCTCGATTCATTAAAAAAAAAATAAAATCAAACCAACATTTATATGACTGGAAAGAGTTTGCAGAGTCCATCGCTAAAAGCAGAGTGCTGGCCCCATTAGAGCCGTTTTCTCAGAATCCAGGGCTGTTTATGGATCTCAGTATTACATGACCTGTGCCTGGCCTTATTGTGTAAGAAAGGAAAGAAATTCAAACCACAGAGCTTTAATTCTAAAGTTATTTCGACATTATTTTGAAAGCACTTTCTATAAAAAAAAAAAAAATCTGCTTCCAAACTTAACAATTCAATATTCAAGTTCGAAGCACTCCTAAAGTTTCCTAGTACCATCCAGCACATGCTTGCAAATCATCTTATTTTCAATGATAAAAGAGAAAAAAAAAGTCTTTATTTTTAAAAGGGGAAAAATAAGCTTCCTCTCACTCCTCCCCACCTCCCATATCTCCTGCTGCAGGAGTATTTTATTGCCCCGTTTTGATACTTCTGTCGCTCTTGTGCTGGGGCCTGCTCCTGTGAAGTGACCACGGGCTGCGTCTGCCTTCAAGAGCTCCCAGACAAGGAAACAGGATGCCGCGGGCCCTCCGCCAGCTTCGGCCAGGAGCCTGAAAGGAGGAGACACCCTCTCCACTCACACCCGGCCGCCCCCTCGCGGGCTTCGCTCTCTATAAGCTCAAGACAGACAACCAGCGAGGTCGGTACGGAGAGGGCGGCAGGGACTCCCAAGGCGGAGCGACAACACCTCCCTCAGCCAACGCTGAAGTCGCACCCGCCACTCTTCTTTCCCGAGAAAGTGCTTCCTCACACCACTTTTCAGGGGTGGGCGGGGTCGCGCTGCACAAATGTGGGGATAAATATGCGAGCCCCCCGCCCACCGAGGATATGTTAGTGGGCTCCGGCTGAGGGAAGAGGTGCGGGCGGTTTGCGCCAGATGCCAGAGCAGATTCCTCACCATCAGAGAGCGACTGCCTCGGCCATGCCGGCGTCTCTCACACCCCCGACCAGGCCCCTCCTCAGCCGGGTCGCCCGAAGCAATGCGATAAGGAGACAAGCAAACGGGGTTGACACCCCCCCCAGCCGGCTGCAGGGGAAAGAGAAGGTAGTATGGAGAAAAGAAGCGAGAGACCACCAGGCACAAGCTGCAGAGAGGAGGAAAAGCAGCTTACCTTGCTGAGCACCCCGCAGAGCTCAACAGGCAGCCTAGGCTCGGTCTCGGGGTTCTCTTCGGAGCTGGAGGAATAACAACTCTGATTGTCTGACATAGCCGAGTAGGAAAGGACCAAGCAACCCCACCCCCCAGCAGCAACCGCAGCCTCCTGGTGCTGCTACTTGAAGGAGCAGCAGGCTCTATCAGACCAGCACCGTGCGCCCTTGCCAGAGACCAGCTGGCACCAAGGCAAACAAGCTTAAACTCGCTCCTCACTATAGTTTCACAGTCCCTACTCTTAACAAAAACCACAAGGCTGCGGTAGCGAGAAAAGGAAAAACAATTTCATATCTGCTTGCCGCGCACTCCACTGCCACCACTATTTTACATGAGGGGAGCGCTTTGTGTCAGCTCCGCCCCTCACCTTTTCTCCCATCTCCACTAGCGGGGCCGCGCGGCGCCTGCAGGGAGCTGTAGTCTTTTGCACAGCTGTAAGCCTAGCCACAGTTGGTTTCCGGAGACGTAATGTGTTGCAGCTGCTATCTCCCGTTTGTAAGGAGATAGCTGCCATTTTGGTTTCGTCGTTTCTGTAGCGCTAGCGTTGGGTTTCACCTCTGTAACCTGATAAGGTAAAGAACTCCATTCCTTCTACCTCTCCGCTACCAGGTGAGGGTAGTGGTGGTGATTTTATATTGATAAGCGGATTGACTTCACAACTCGTTAAAGTTGTAAAGTAGGTATACTTTTTATTCAGCGCTGAGATGCACGGGGATAATTCCTCAAAGTCATGCATGCCTCAGTGTTGTTTCCCTCTACATTTATTCTCTAAAGTTATATATATTCATAAGGTTGCACAATACACCTAGACATATTCATGTCCTATCCCCGCTTCATATTATAATGAGCTAGAAGGTCCTTTGCGCCTGCGCAGTGCTCCCTCTAGTCATGGGCAGGGGTCTTAAGATGAAGTAACTGAGTCTTCCTCCTGTGGGTAGGGGTCTTCAAGATGAAGTAAATGAGTCTTCTTCTTCTTGAACTTTTCACCTTTTAGTCTTCACATATGGCCTTATGGTTTGGTCGGTGTCCCAGCCATAAACCATCTGCTTCTCCCCCTTCAGGGATCTGCTTTTCCTTATCAATAGCTGCTTATCAGTAGAATCAGGCATCTGCTTTTCCTTGTCAATAGAACCAGGTGTCTGCTTTTCCTTATCAATAGTGCCTTTGTTCTGCTTAGTAGGCATGATGGGTACAGACCATACTTTTGTTTAAGCAAGTGAATTCCTCTAACCCCCTTGTACAACCCCCCTTGTACATTGGTCAACCCTCTGCATCAATCCCCCCTTTTTCTATAAAATGAGTAAATTCTTTTACTATATTATTTATGACAGAGCTATCCATGTTCCTTCTATCGATTTATGAAATGATGTCGATATACATTGTATTATGCAAGGTACAGTCATTAAAATGCGTAGTCCTATAGCTAAGATTAGAAGGCCTTGTTTAAGTATTTCCCTGAACCATCCAGTAACTCCTAGGTTTTTTAGCCATTCATCCATTCCACCTTCAACAATTCTAAGCTCTTGCATATTTTCCTGCAATTTTTGCAGCTTAGCATGAATAGATTCAGAATGGTCAGATAAGTTCATGCAGCACATACTTTCGAAATCCCCACAACCATCTTGTAACAATATCTTTGTTACCTCCTGGGCTTGTGCACTTCTAGTTGGAAAGGCTTCTGGCCAAACTGAAAAGGTGTCTGATGGTACCAACAAATGTCTATAGCCCCTTTTTCTGTCCTTTTGCAAATTCTCTTGCAACATTTTATATGCTGCCATTACCATCTAGAATCTTTTTGAAATAGTTTCCTATTTCTACTTGATATTTAAATGTCATTTCTTTTTTCAATCTTCATAAATTATCATAGATCGTTTACAATTCCAGAAAGAAAATTTTGTTATACCACAAGTAATCACTATTAAAATAATTAATATTAATATTCCTGCAACCCGTTGCCTTAACCAGGAGAGATCAGGTAACCATGAAGGTAACTTCTTCCACATTGCTTCAAACCCCCAGGGGGTGTCATCCTTGGCCATTTTATGAAATAATTTAATTTTTTTCCAGATTTCCTCCAGATCTGTTTCAGGAACAGCAATTTTCATTGATTCTTGTTCCACTTGGATTATATTAATGGTTTTGCATTCTATTTCCTCTATGGTTGCTGAGATATTTATGATTGCCTTCTCTAATTCACTTATTCCCAAAGATGGAATTAGCCATCTCAAAAAACTATTAAATGCAGTATTGTGTTCAGCAATAGGGATAAACCCTCGCTTAACCAATACCATCATTTCCCTTCAGGAACAGGCCACCAATGAAACACAATACCATCTATATTAATAGTGTGATTGGAATTTGAATAGTGACCTATACCTGTGGCATTTAAACAAACATAGCATCCTATTCTGTTTCCTGGTGTAATACATCTTTGTATACAGGTATAATATTCTTTACTTGGATTAGGATTAACTATTCCAAATCTTAAAATTGTCCATGAGATAGTGTTGGAAATTGGAATGCCAATTAATGGAAGGCCCTGATCTTCTCCTGATTCAGGCAACTGTGCACACACCCAACAGTCACTACAATTAACAACTTTAGTAACATTCTGCATTAATTTCAGGTAAGTATTGGTCCCAAGCTGGTATGTCAGTTATCACATAAATACAAATTACGACTCGTACAATTTCATATGTGAAGGTCCTGAAGGTTTGATCTGCCATGTCTTCTCTGGTTCTGGTGCTTTCTTCATTTTTGAAGAAAGGTTGTTCCTTTATCTTCACTGCTGTAAAGGTGGTCAGTATTATCTGATACGGTCTGCTCCACTTCTCCTGTAGAGGATGTCCTGAAAAATTCTTAACATAAACCCAGTCTCTGGATCTAAAAGGGTGAGTCAGATAATCCATGCCTCTCGCTATTGTCCCCAGTGTTCTCTTATTTCTTCTAATTGCTTTCCCAGATTGATCAGAAACTCTAGGAGATAGCCTTCTCCCACTTCCAGAAGACTTTCTCCTTTAAGCTGGGACTGATATGGTCTTCCATATAAAATTTTTACATGGGATATCCTTTTCTTTTGACCGAGATTTAGTTGAAATTCTTAATAGAGCCAGTGGTAAAGCTTGGTGTCTATATCTTGACATATTTTACTAATCTGTTGTTTGATCACCTTTTCTACTTGCCCACTGGCCTGAGGCCAGTACAAAACATGTAGTTGCCAATCAATTTCTAATATTTGTTAATTTCTTCTAACTATTTTGCACTATATGGCGAGCCTTGGTCAGAAGAAATTGTCTCTGGTACTCCAAGACAAGGTATTATACTGTTTAACAGTGTTCCAGTTACTTGTCTTGCATTATTTATTCTACAAGGGAATGGTTCTGGCCACCCTGAAAAAGTATTCATTAACAGCAACAAATATTGGTCTCGGTAATTCAGAAAAAATTATTTGCCAGTGCTGTCCTGGATAACTTCCTACCCGGTTGTACCATTTTGATTTCGTTTTTCAATTTTAGGATTATTCTTGAGAGAGAGCTTGATGCACAGATAGACTCCACAACTCGTTAGCACGGGGGATAACTCCTCCAAAAGCATGCGCACCTCAGCCTTGTTTCCCCTTTACATTTATCCTCTAAAGTTATGCATGAGATTGCACAACACGCCTATACATATTCATGTCCTATTCCCGCTTTGTATTGTAATAAGCTAAGAAGTCCTTTGCGCCTGTGCAGTGCCTCCTAGTGGTCGTGAGCGATGGTCTTGAGATGAAATAAATGAGTCTTCCGAGAGCTTGAACTTTTCACCTGTAGTCATTACGCATTCTCCCTGGAGGTTTGGTTTTTGTCCAAGAGGCAGAGCCAATTTCAGCTGGCCTAGGCATCCAAAGGACGGGAATCAAGTCACGGTCCCTACTTCTTAACAATAGCTATGTCCTTATACCTAGTTCTAGCATACACTGAGGCGTCCAAAGGACGGGAATCAATACACAGTCCCTACTTCTTGACAATAACTGTCCTTATATCTTGTCATAGCATAACCATGAGAGAGCAATGATATCGTTAAGCAAGCGTCCTGGTCTATCCCCTTGTACATTGCAAGTATGACAAGCATGAGCAAGCAGTAACATTATTAAGTAAGCGGTTTGACCTATCCCCTTGTATATTGCAAATATCATGTATAAGTATGAGCAAGCAGCATCATTGTTAGCAAGTGGCTCAACCCTAACCCCTCTGTACATTTGTTAACCTGTTGCATAAAGCTGACATTGTCACTAATTGATCTGTTATATAGATTCCTTCCTTCTATTTGTTCATCTAAGTATTTATACAAAGAATTGCTAGCCCAATGAGCTTTATTATGTTCCTCCTGAACTGGCTTCCAGAGTTGGTTATAGGGGATTACTATTTGCCCATCAGGTATCTGAACCCAATCTTCTTTGTTTTCCTCTCCTTTGAGATCTCCAATCAATTTTCTATCCTCCTTTGAATATCTAGGTTTAGATTTCTCAATTGTTAGTTTGCCGTCAGGGATTAAGGGAATGAGTTTAGATTGTTCAATTCCTCGTTTGGCTTCAGAATCGGCCAAATTTCACCTTGTTGATGCCCTCGACAATACATAATAGCTACTTCCTCAGGTAGCTGAAGAGCTTTCAGTAGTCATAGAATTTCTGTAGCATGTTTAATCTGTTTCTCCTGTGTGTTCAATGGTCCTCATTCTTTCCAGATGGCACCATGTGCATGGACCACACCAAATGCATATTTAGAATCAGTCCAAATATTTATCCTTTTGTCTTTAGCCAATTCCAGGGCACATTCCAGAGGTTTCTTTCAAATCTGGTTGGCTTGAATATACAGTTTCATATAGTGGCCAAACAGTCGTGTGTTAATAGTTCTGTTGGTTGTTCCTGCAAAAGGATGCTGGATTGACAACATTAGTGACCACGGTTTCTGTATCATCATGTTGCACAAGGATGGCCTGATATTTTAACCAGTGGGCTTCTTCCTGTTCCAGGACTGCTGATACAACATGGGACACTAGTACAGTAATCTTTTGTCCCAAGGTAAATTTCCGGGACTCTTCAATATTCATGACAACTGCT